TTTCTTTAAACTGCAGCATGTTTCTTTAATAAATGACCCATTACCCAGATTAAGTGCATAAGATGTTTAGGCTGTAAAATGCCATCTTCTCATAGATTGATGTGACAACAAGTCAAGGCCTTGCCTACATCAACCTTAAGTGTTTATCCAAATAATGATTACTATGTCAAGGTCATGACAATAGACTGATAAGGATCATTTTCAAATATGAACTGCTTTTAAACTGAAGATGTATAATTAACCCATATATTACCTGTAGCAATTAGAAATGCTAAACTATATATATATGCCTGCTTGACAAATGCTGGGCAAGACTTACTGGCCAACTCTGGAGCAGACATTACAGAGAGGTTACCTGTACAAACAGGAAGGGTATGTTATACTAATACTTTCTTTTGCAAGCATATATTTAATTCTATATATTCTGCTTTATAATATATTAATGGATTATTATATGTCTATTAATTTATATATATATATATATATATATATATATATATATATATATATATAAAAATTCAATAAACTATTTTAAATACAAGAGACAAAAAGTTACGGTCAGCCATGCTAAATTCTATGCTTTAGGACTTTATAGTGGTAAATGGGGCTACCAGCGTCTACAATACTAACAGACATCAAATAATATACAGTATACAATTTTAAAAAGTAAACATGTTATACCATGTTCAATTAAGTGTATTAAAGATAAACGACTAGTAGCAGTTATTCATTTACATACCGGCAGCCCCTTGCCCAGTGTCCCCATTTCCAGAGAGTCAATGGGTGTCACACTACTGTAACATGTGTCATCTGGTACTCTTTACACCTCCCTCCTCTGCACAGTGATTGTTCCTGCTTGGTGCATTTCCCCAAGCAAAGAAAATATTCCCTGATGACTTGCTATAGCATAAGGAACACCTTTTAAAATTTTTACATATTATTTTCACTACAAGCAATCCCTTTAAATATTAGCCACAAGCAGCCAAATTGGTATATTTTGAAGGATAGTTTTTGGGCTGTGTGGTTGCAGAAGGCAGCACACCATTGGCAGGACCTACCTTTCTTCATCTTTCTCTACTAAAAAGATTGCAAAATTACATAGTAGCATTTTAAATAGTAGGACATTGCTAGTCAAACTGATAGCAAATGTGAACATGAATACCGTAATTATGTCTGAATGTCCTTATTTCTCTAGGACATTGGCCAAGAGTTATTTTTATAAACTACAACTGATGGCTGTTTCTGCAGGTCGATGCACCAACCACAAAGTCAAGTTCAGGGAGGATTTAATTTATGCATGTTCTAAATGTTTGGCTAGAAAACTATAGAACATAAATTGTATGGGCTTATTCAAGGGCACCTTGTCAAAACAGAGTAGCTTCCTTCCCCTCCAGAGATCCTCAACTGATGGAGAGACATGTTTTTCTACTGGCTTTAGCTGGCTTCTTTGAATCATGCACATGGACTGTTGCCCATGTTGTCTCTCCAGTAATAAATCTTGCAGGTTCAATAAGTAGTGTTGATGAATAGCAAATGATGAGGGAGGTGGATAGGAGAATGGCCTTGGGAACAATGCAACACGCAATCAGGCAATGTACTAGGTAACATAGATGCTTGGTTTATCCTGGCAATATTATGTACTGCGTATAGAAAATACACCCACATATAGCCACGTTCACATCTGTGTGATATTATGCAAATCTGTCATGGTTATTCACTAAAATGTGAACTGTTTGTTATTCAAAGTAAATTTCAAATTCTAGGCCAAAATAGCATATTTGGAAATATGTTTTTTTTTCCACTTTGACTTTTCTAGCTTAAAATGTAAAATTCACACTTAATTAATTAGCCCTTTATATTAAAAAAAGAAAAATCAAGTTTATTGAAAGTATTCACAAGGATGTTATTTTACTATTTTTTTTCACACCTACTGTATGTTAGAAAAATAATATTTGTGCCCCAATGAAAATATTTCAGAAGTTGTAGGACGTACAATTAATTTGGATGCTCGCAGTAAAGCAATGCTCCACACACTATAAACCACTATAGCAAGTCTTGGTGTCCTCCAAAAATAGCCAATCTGTTTGTGAACGGCTGGCGCCGGTCCCTGCCTCTCCTCTTCCTTTATTAAGAGCCACAAGATTGTGCCAAGAGCTTTCATTAGCTCTCCTGAGCTAAGCCCTGCGATTCAAGTCTAGCTCATTGCCTGGACTTCAGAGTCCAGAGGTCAGCTAATCACTCTAAGCCAAAGCAAAGTTCTGCAGTGCAGGGCTTTTCTGAGACAGGGTGCTTATAGCTGCAGAGAGGCAGAGACCAGCGCCAGTCGGACTGCTACACCTGTGAATTAATGTTTTTCAGCTGGCACAAGCAAATTGTATTCCTTTTAATCTAAGCCCAAACTGTCCAGAATTTACCTGACTAAGACTCCACAGGTAAATCCCCGATGATGGATTAGTTCGGGTTTAGATGAAATTGAATTTAATTTATTTGTAACATATGAAAAGCCTTAATGCACAAGTTTACGGACTACTTACATTGGAGGGACCATAATGACTCTTTTTGTCCAGCGAGCTGTAGTGGTTGTGGTGCTTTGAGTGCTCCTTTAATTATGTTTTATTTTTTTATGTTTAAGCACTTCATAATGAAGTGATGCTGTGGCAGCAATATGTTTTAGTTAGCTTGAATATAATAAAAATATTTTTCTAATAATTAATAATTGTCGGCTGATATTTTGTAGAGCTGTGGGCATGTTAATGTAAAGTAATCATTGGTAAAGGGCATACTTTAAGATGAGATCCTCTCATCCTCAGAAGCACATAAAAACTTCAAGCGTATAATAGTATACTTACCAACAATATATAGTTTAACCCCCATATTAATATTTATTGTCATTAAAAAGTCAAAATGATCCCTAAGCACATAATATTTAAAATGTTTGCACAACTTTATTCACCTTGCACAATGCAATGTCCAAATTACAAAATACAAAACTTCTTTCATATCTATTAAAAAAAAAAAACAAAAAACATACATTTTATTTTTTCTGTTATTGCCTTGGATATTATATCAGTAATTGCATGCTGCTACATGCTGGGTTGCTGCCTGTCTATGGTAGCCAGTACTATCTTTCCTGAAGTTGTTTTGACAATTTTCTTGGGTCCTGGATTTATAACTGCATTCCTATATACAACTCCCATTATTCTCAGCCAACATGAGGCTACTGGAAGATTATGGGAGGACACCTCAGAGTTATAAAGCTATGGATGCTTCTTCCCCTCTAGGTTCTGCAGGAAGCACCAGCTCTACTGCACCAAACTCTGCAATGTGCAAGTGACCTCATGCAAAAAAAAAAAAAAGCCCATGAGCTGCTCAGCTCCCCAGCTGTGCCCCCTCTTTACCTCTGGTGCGAGCTCTCAGGATGCCCTTCTTCTGCAACACAAACGTGGAGCCATTGAGGAAGCTGGAGAAGACAGCCACACTCAGACCCACAGTGGGCAACTTAGTTTCTTCGTCCATCCTGCTCCAATACCCTGTCAGTGTCCTGTATGCAGTGTGGCCATGCTCTCCCTCCCTCTCTCCCTCCCTCCCAGCGCAGTGCTGTCAGTGTGCTCCCCGCAGCCTGCCTGGCTCCAGCTCAATCACTCCTCCAGCACTCTGCTTCCTGCTTGCTACTATTAGGGGACTTTGAACTATAAGACGACTCATTCTTTTTTCTTTTTTTTTTATCATCAAAAAGCTTTATTGTCAGACATTAAAATAGACAAAATGGTAATTGAGCTTTGAAAGCACTGCTTCATTGTCTTTTTATGTGCAATTATCACACATATACCAGTACATATATCCATGAATAACATCCTACTATACCTGTAGTCCCCTAGTTTTTGATGTGAGAATTTGTGGTTTACCATTAGTATCACTATGGATGACCAACATTCATTTTCTTCAATAAATCAAATACAAGCAGTGCATTCATATGAATGAAGGTGAACGGTTTTTGGAGGAGGGTGTCAAACTTCAAACTAAAATATCCAAGTTGTGACTATAGCTTGGCTTGAGAATTATTTTTTATCAGCTATATTAACCTAGTGCCGTTCAGATTTCAATTTGCCACAATTCAGAGTTTAGTGAAAAGAACAATATAGCATAAGAAATACAAACACGCAAATTAGCAGGCATTACACTGGAAGCAATCGCTATGCCCCTCTCAAACTCAACTCAATGACAAAATACCCCAATATAATCTACAGGACCGCCATCAGGGGGTGACAACCATGATGGAATCCAGTTTCCTCCATGACTACAGGTAAGAGGCGGGGGGGGGGACATAAAAAAAAATTAAAATAAATACCCCCAGCACACACACATCCCATCTAACAGACAAAATGCATCCACTACACAAACACACAAACTGTATCCACCACACACACACATCAAACAGACAAAATGCATCCACTACACAAACACACAAACTGCATCCACCGCACACACACACACACACACACACCATCAAACAGACAAACTGTATCCACCGCGCACACACACACACACACACCATCAAACAGACAAATTGCATCCACTACACAAAAACACAAACTGCATCCACCACACACGCACACATCATCAAACAGACAAAATGCATCCACTACACACACACACACACACATCATCCACCACACACACACAGCATTCGCCATATAAAACACACAAACTGCATCAACCACAAAAACACACACAACATCCACTACACAAACACACATCATCCACTACACACATACACATACACCATCCATCACATAAACACACAAACTGCATCCACGGGGGCGTGGCCTGACCTCAGATGGAGTGAGACGCACGTTGCCCGAGCTCCTAGGCCCCAACCTGTAAAGCCCACGTTAAATAGCATCCAGAACCTCTCAAATACCGTAAATATGGGGAAAACCAAACGAGCACTAAGTTCAGGGCAGCCCAGAGGGGCTTTGATGAGGTCCCAATCCGGCCCGATGGATGATTTCCTCACTGGGCCGCAAGGCCTGCAGGACGCTGCGGACACGTCGGCTCCCGCCTCTCCAGGTTCCTGCATAGCTGATTCGTCCCGCGGCACAATAGGGCCGACTGCCCTCTCCCAAATCTTGGTGGATATTGCCGCGATCTCCGCCAGCATGCTGACCCGGCGAGACAAGTCCGAAATGGTGGCAGAACTGCGGGCAGTCATTAGGGAGGAGATTGCTGCGGTGCGTGCGGATCTTACCGCCCTGGAGCACCGCGTGGATGCTCTGGACGCAGAACGCCTGCAAAAAACTCACCGGCAGCAAGCAGTGGATATGGCGACCAGACGGCAGGGGAACCTACTCCTGGACCTCCGCCGTCAGGTCGAAGACCTTGACAATAGAGGACGGCTCAACAACATCAGGGTCCGGGGGCTGCCGGAGGCGGAGGGGGAGATGCCGCACGAGATTCTTACCAGTCTGTTCACTCACCTGTTGGGATAGGCGGCGCCGGGTGACTTTGGCATCGAAAGAGCACATGGCCGCGATGGCCTCCCGAGGGACATGATCTGCGCTCTGTCATCGTTCCCGCTCAAAGAAGACCTGATGAGGGCAGCGCGATCTAGACACGACCTCTGTTACATGGATGCCCAGGTGTCCCTCTATCAGGATCTCTCTTAGACCACCTTGGATGCCCGCCGGGCCCTGAGGCCGCTTACCCGCCTGCTTCAAGAGAGAAGAATCCCTTATAAGTGGGGCTTCCCCTTCAGTCTTCAGGCCCGTGTGGACAACATGTGGCATGTCCTCAGATGGCCTAATGATGTTCCCCGGTTTCTCCGGATCGCCGGCCTCCCCCATATCACCATACCGAATTGGATCCTGGGGGACCCACTGGCACGAGCTGTAGGCCCAACGGAAGCAGCACACAACCTCCACCCGGAGCCTGGGCAACGCCGCAGAGGAGGGCCTGAGGGCCCTGAAGAGTAGCAGCATCCTGCCGGCCCCGGGCGGCGGTTACCCGGGGGGGCCGCCGGGTCCGGCAGGACTCCCATCAGATCTCTGGCTCCACTACTGCTGGACCTCCCCGGCCGGGGTATGTACTGTGGTGGACAGCTCACCGTGAAAGTTGGCAGGGTGGCGGGGGGGCCAGTAGCTAGGTTGGGTGGGAATGGCTCTGCGGATTTGGGTTTAAGTGGCCACCTGTTCGGGGGTTACCTTGGGGGATCCACCATAGGTTGGGTGGGCGGGGTTGACGGGGCTGGACTGGGTCAGCGGGACCGCAGAAACCGGTGGGGGACGGTGGACACTAGTGTGGCAGGGGACACATAGGCATATCCTCTTCCTCCTCCACCCCCCGTGGGGGGGGTTTCTTTCTCTCTCTCTCTCTTGGTGGGGAGGATGGATGGCCACACGGGGTGTGGTAAAGCAGGCGCACTGTGGTTTTACCTATCGAGGCTGACCGGGTGGGGGGTCTGCAGAGGGGGAGGCTCCAATGACCAACTCACTTATTTCACTGAGGCGAGGAGCGGGACAGAGATCAACCACGAAGGATGCACCCGCAGGGACAAGGGGCTTATGAGCTGGGAGCAAGAGGGGGACATGGGGCGGTGGCAGGCTTGACCGGAGTGCGGTGGGGGTCTGCAGGGGGGGGGGGCAGACGCAGGGAGGGGGTTTGGGGTGTAGCGGTTTATCACACAGCCAAGTAGGGGCATAGACTTTTAGGGGGGGAAGGAGAGACCCACACCAAGGCAAGCTATCTGAAAAGCTATCGGTGGCAGGGGGATGCCACATGGCGGCTCACACGGGGAAGGCCCCACGCCGCCCCTAAAGGTCCCCACCCACGATGCTGTCCCGTGAGATCTTGGCCCATACAGCGAGAGGCACCACGCTGCGTGCTGACAAGCCCCAGACGTGAGATATTGAGATATTTTACACATGCCCCGAGTTACCGGTGGGGGGGATGGGGTTCACCGGGAAACAGGCGCCTAGAGGCTAACTGCAGCGGGCTGCACAGGGGAGTTCCTACCGACAGAAATGGTCCTGATGAGCGGGGCAGGGGCGGGGACCTTGGCAGGTGGATAGCCCTCGTTGGGTGCGAGCTAATACCTCGGGGAGAACGTGAATGCAGGCTCACCTCGGGTTTCAAGGGGAGGAGGCACACATAGCTTTCCCCAATTCATCTTTACCCTAGCATCTGGATACTCGCATACATGACATACAGGGAGGGTACTGACGGAAACTGGGACGGTTCCGACCACCACATCTTACGGTGACACTATTACAGTTAGGGGCCCTATTGACCCTCATTGTACATAGAGCCGGGGTTCCTTGCGCGGGTATATTACTCCCGTGGGAGGGACACGTACTTCCGGCTAAGGGTCAACGTTGCCCCCGGGGGGCGGGGAGACTACTTCCCACGACTACTTGAAATAGACTTTCCCACTCATTCCCACACCCCACACTTCCTCCTGTGCCGACGCTGTGATGGCTTCTGGTCGGGACTTTGTTCCGGCGCGGCTGACTTATTGGTCCAACAATGTACAAGGGCTCAACACGCCCGAAAAACGATCACATTTGCTAAGGCAACTCTGGGCCGCTAAAGCATCCGTAGCGTTCCTGCAGGAGACGCACCTCAAAGGGAGAGATGCCCCCAAATTGGAGAATCGGCGATTCCCGCAAGATGGATCCGCAGGGGAGGTACCTTTTCTTAAAGGGCACCACACTTACACATTTGCATGTTTATACTGCCCTAATAGGGGACAACACACCTTCCTATCCCGGACGCTAGCCAAATTAGAGAGATTTAGAGAGGGCCTCTTGATCCTAGCTGGTGACCTCAATATCCCTCTGGACCCACGGCTGGATACTTCCAGGGGAAGGACCGCGGTCCCGGCGCATTGTATCCGATTGATCCAGCGTTCCCTGCACAAAATAGGACTTGTCGATTGCTGGAGGGCTTCCAATCCAGAAGGGAGGGACTATACCCATTATTCCGCAGCCCACGCACATTACAGCCGCATCGATTATGTCTTTCTTGCGCAAGAATTTTTAAACCTATTGCAGGGATCGCAAATAGGCATCATGGATCATACGGATCATGCTCCGGTTCTGGTCCATACAAGCTCCCCGCTATACAAGCCTAGCGAAAGACAGTGGAAGCTCAACAAAGCCATGCTAGACGACATGGCACTCACGCAGTCAGCGACCCACACCCTGACCGATTATTTTACCACCAACGACAACTCTGACACGACCCCCTTAAGGCTTTGGGAGGCGCACAAATGCGTCATTAGGGGCTTCTTCATTGCGGAGAGCACCAGGCGCAAAAAGGATAGACTAACTCGCATTTCAAGCTTGACGGCACACAACGCCGAACTCAAGGGGATTCATAAGCAGTCCTTGGATGAGGGCACTTACCTCAGACTTGTAGAGGCGCGTAGGGAACTGAAAACCATTCTGTCGCAGGGACTGCTGCACACCGCGAGGAAGGCCACTAGGTACTACTACGAACACTCCAAAAAGAGCGGGAGGCTTTTGGCACGGATGCTCCGAGAGAAGAGCAGGATGCAACATGTCCATAAAATACGCACGGGGGGGAGACATCACACGCCTTCCGAATGGCATATTGACTGCGTTTCAGGAGTACTACGCGGCACTATATAACCAAACACAAAGCTGTACGGAATCGGAGGAACGACGACACAAGGAGAGGATCGTAGCGTACTTACAAACCCATGTCGCTCACAGACTCACTCCGGAGCAGGAGGCAGACCTGGAGGTACCTTTAACGGTGGAGGAACTGACGGGAGCGTTGAAGTCCACCAAGGCCCATAGGGCACCAGGGCCGGACGGTCTACCAGCCTCTTATCTACGTGCCTTCAGGGACATCCTCCTGCCCCACCTGGTAACAGGGCTAAACTCTCTGCGGGAAGGAGGTCGGTTTCATGAGGACACTCTGAGGGCAACGGTCACGATCCTCCCAAAGGAAGGCAAAGACCCCATGGACTGCGCCAGCTACAGGCCAATCTCATTGTTAAATGCGGACCTCAAATTGTTCGCTAAAGCATTGGCACTTCGGATGGATAAGACGCTGCCAGATCTCATTCACCCAGATCAGGTCTGGTTCATACCTGGACGGGAGGCCCGTGACAATACCATATAGGCCCTCAACTCTATCCACGTAGCACAAACCAACGGGAAGGATATGGTGCTGCTCTCCACCAACGCCGAGAAGGCGTTCGATAGAGTTGATTGGATTTACATGCTGGAGACCCTAGGGCACATGGGATACGGACCTGGTCTGCGGTCATGGGTGGCGGCGCTGTATACCAAGCCAACTGCGCGCATACGGATTAATGGAGCACTCACTGGCACGTTCAATATTTGCAATGGCACGCGCCAGGGCTGCCCCCTGTCCTCCCTCCTGTTTGCCCTCACCCTGGAACCCTTCCTGGAGGCGGTCAGATGGGACGGGGGTATAACGGGGTGCCAGCTGGGGGGGGAGAGCATCGGGTGGCGGCATACGCTGACGACATGCTCTTCCTCCTGGAGCAACCGAGAATATCATTACCGAATCTTATAGAGGCTTTCCGACTCTACAGCGCAGTTTCCAACTTGAAACACAACCTGGACAAGTCGGAATTGATGCCGCTTACACGAGAACCAGCCCTCCGGAGACATATCCAGGCGCACTTCCCCTTCCGGATCTGCACAAACAAATTGCGTTATCTAGGCATCTGGCTACCGAGTGACCTAGCTCAAACCTACTCCATGAACTTCGCCCCCCTACTCACAATCCTGCAACAAAACATGAGGCGCTGGGCCCCTCAATATATATCCTGGTTTGGCCGCATAAATGCCATTAAAATGAATGTTATGCCCCGAATACTGTACCTGTTCCAGATTCCGGTCAGTATCCCACGGAATTTCTTTCAAACACTAACGACATCCTTTAGGCAGTTTGTGTGGAATCAGAAACCCGTTCGCATATGGCAAACGATCCTGGAACGTCCCAGAAGTGAGGGAGCCATGGGACTGCCTTCAGTCATCACTTACTACTGGGCATCGCACCTGTACCGGTTAGTGGACTGGCATGCTACCCCAAGCGGGAAACATTGGGTAGATATGGAAAAGCAACAAGCTCGGGGAGGTAAAATCCCTGCCCAGCTATGGCTGGGGGAAGCCACATTCCAGCAGCTGCAAACGGGCAACCCGATGATAGACGCTACGTTGAAGGTTTGGTGTAGCATTCGATATTCCCAAAGACTTACGACGTCGCCGAATCCACTCACGCCCATGACACATAACCCGAAACTAGCGGGGGGACTCTCCCCGGGGGGATCTAAAGAATTTTGGGGTCACGGATTGGACCTACCTGCACCAGTGGTGCAATGGACCAGCTCTTAAACCACTGGCCGCTCTGCTTCAAGACCGCGGACCAAGCGTCCTTGACAAATTTCGCTGCTACCAACTCAAAACTTACGTTGCCTCGCTTGCAGGGAAGG